GAGTAAAATATATATTTTTTATTTAAACAAAAGATCTGATTAAGTAATATATAATAAAAAGTACAATATTCAAAATGATAGACCACAAAAATATTGAATCCGCTTTAATTGAAGTGATTAAAGTAGTATATAGTCAAGGTATCAAAAAATATGACAAATTAAGAGCATCATATGTAAACTATCTTAAAATATTACAGCAAAAAAGAGATCTAGAAGATCATGTTAGATATGTTGCAAAACAACGTAGCCCAAATGAGGAAACTTATAATGAAAGAATGGCAGATTTCAAGGATTGGTATAATGAAGAAGTATATACTAGTCTTGAAAATCTATATAAATTATATCTCGAACTGGCTAACCAAGAAGAGGTTATAGAAAAAAGATCCAAGGAAGAATTAGATAATATTCTTCAAAGAATTCACGATCTAGAAATTTAATACTGTTTAAGTACCCACTGAGGTGGAAGCATACTATCTTTAGGTATTTTTAATAATTCTTCACGAACAAATGATCTCTTGAGCCCATTATCATTTTCATCAATTAACCAATATAATATCAGCTGATTTTTTTGTATTAACGATTTTTTGATATGGTAAATCTGTGGAGATCAATTATAATCGGTCGCTCTTCTTCTACCTCCTTCTAATTCACCTGGCTTAAGCAAATATCTAACAGAAGCATCATGGGGCAATCTTTCTTCATCAAATTCCATAGGACCATTTCGAGGTTTGGAGAATTTAGCATATACATGTTTCTTTTTACTAGCTTCGTTAGGTGTCATTCCAATTAATCGAGTAATAGTATTATTTAATAATTTAAGAATAGTACGAATATTTTTTTTTTCAAATTCTTGATCTTTGGGGAAAAGGTAATAACAATTCATGTGCATCTTGAATTTGAAATACTTTCTTACCAAAAGTTCCATTAAAATTTTCAACAATATCCATAGTAGACTTAAAATTAGCTTTCTGATTTTTTACGTTATGTTTTCTTAAGAGTTTTTCAAAATCACTTTTGAATTCAGAACCCTTATCAGTAATTACTAATTTTATCATATCCCATGTAATAAAACATTCCAGATCATTAAAAAGCATTCTTTCGAAAGTTTCCGCAACTACAGCTGAAGTTAAGATACCTTCTAAAGAAAACTCATCTTCATCTATATTTAAGATATCAAGATAAGTTCCAATCGGTTCTGCTCATTTATAATGAGAAGCAACGTCAACACATGTAAGACAAAACATATAAGTTATATCCCCTATTTTATCATATGGCATATAAAGAATATCAGCTTGTAAAACTTCGAATGGAACAGTAATATTATTGAAACTTACACAAGGAATATATTTAGGATGAGGCATATGAATTTGATGCAAAGCTTGTCTTTCAAGCCATTCTTGAACTTCGGCCAATGTAAAATCGAATCTGGCTTTTTGAGAAATTTCATAAAGTTTCTTACTAGTCCTTTGATAGCCAGAAGGATGATAATAGATTTTTTGCAAATCGATAGATATATCAAATTTTCGAGATTCTGAAGGGTCTATAACAATACTAGGATTACTCATTTTATTTATAGTATAAAAAATCCTAGCGATGTCATCGAAGATTAAGCAATTCGAGAATAGTTTATTAGCTATAAAAAATCGGTTTTGGGCCTTACAACGTGATTTAATTTTAAAAGAGGATTACATCAAATATCTTGAAAAGGCAATCATAATTCGGGATGACGAACTAGATCCATTGCGTCAACAAATTACTGATATAAAAAAACGATTGCAAAAGGCACTCCAGACCTCCGAGAGTCAAGAGAAATATATAGATTATCTAGAAAAGCAGTTAGTAATTTTTCAGGAAAATCTCGATGCACTTAATGAAAAGATCGAAATTATTTCTTCGAGAAGAAGCTCGCCAGATCCATATACCCAGACTTTGGAAGAACAAGATACTAATATGGCAAATATAGATGTGGTAAATATAGATCTTTTTATACTTATTAACCAAGGCTTAGAACGACTTGAAAATCATCTTAGAGGAGTTGGAACACCATTAGATAATCCTATCAATATTATAAATGGCATTAGAGGTTCTTTGAATACCGTCCGACATAATTATCAAAATGCGTATCAGGATATTGATGGTGTCATCGCCGAACGAGATGATCGAGACAATCAAATAGTGCGATTACAGCAAGATGTTAATAGATATAGACAACTTGATACACTTCAGCAAAATCATATTAATCAACTTACCCAGAATGGTATTAATTTGCAAAATCATAATCGTAGGCTTACACAGGAGCGTGGTATCCTGCAGGGTATAGAAAGATCTCGCAATTTTTGGAAGTTAAATGCTATCTTTATCAAAACTCGAAAAGACAGGCGCATCAGTACATTATTACATAAACAGTTTGCATCACAGCTCTTGAATAGACGAGCAACCCAGCAATTGGAACGGCAGTTGCAACAATATCATAATCATGGAACAATATTAGAGTATTGGCGAGATCAACTTATTCTTAGATATGAGAAATGGAAAAATAAAACACATGGCTCCCGACAAATAATTAATAATTTGAATCAGCAAATTTTTGCATTACAGAATAATCCATTAGTAAATCCACACAATATGGCTGCCTTAACTGATGTTACATCATCATTAGCCCCGATGATTGCTCAAATTCCAATATATATTGGGCAGGAACCTCTAATAGAATATTATAACAAATTTATGTAGATATTTCAATATGGCAATACATTAGGTGTTGCGAGATTTAATGATGCAGTAAAAACATGAATGTTATCATCTAGATTAGCTGAAAGATTCATATCATCCAATCCATTTCAAAATAACGCAGGTAATCAAGTAAATACACCAACACTTTTTCTTGATTGGTTAGAGGATAAATATCGAGAAGTAATGATAGGAACTAGTCAAGCATCTATGAAAGCACTTATAAATGAAAAATTTTCTCCACTTGATATACCAGATAGCTATAAGCAAAGAATTCGTACATTTACACATTCTATTGCAGATGCCGATTGTTTACCTATACTCTATAATCATTTACCAGAAAATTTAGAACTCTGAGTTAGAATGACAGCCCCTGCAACCAAAGACGCTTTCTTTACAAATCTTAGAAATTGTTGGTTAGAATCAAATGGGAGTAGGAGTAATATTCAATCACCTAATATTGCTTCGCAGACACATATGACTATACCCACCCCACCCCCTCAAATTCAATATTACCAACACCCCCAATCTCAATCTCAACCCCAACAGCAATCTCAGGAAAATGAAAAAAAGTCAACAGAATATTTAGAAAGTATTGCTATGAGATTAGGATATTCAGACAGTGCATTTCGAAATCCCGATGCTTTAGAAAATTTTATCGAAGATGAGTTATACTCAAGATTAGGACATGCAAATTATCATATTAAAAAAGAGTCTTTTGGTCAAGTTAGAGAGGTTAATACCAGAGTGATTACCAGAGCTAGTACTTTGGGTGCTAAAAAAGTATATGCTACAAATAAGCTGACAAAGAAACCTGCAAAAAAGCCTACTAAAGTTACTAAAGTTATATACAAATGCTCAAATTGCGGAAAAATTGGACATAGAAAAAATATGTGTCCTGGAGGTACGAAATCCAAGAAGGTTAATTATACTTATCAGAGTGAACCAGAAAATTCAGATGATGAGGAGGTGGTGATATTGGAAGATGACGAAAGCGAAGACGAAGAGGAGGTGAAAGAAGAAATCACCTCTGATAATGAATCGCAATCCTGTTTCAATGTAAAAAAAAGTCAGATTCCTGTAAAGAAGAAGTCTTCTATTAAGAAAAAATCGATTGTTACTCTGGAGCAGGAAGTATTTCTTGAATCTCTTAAACATATGATATCCGAATTAATATCTCATTGTCCTAAAGAGATTCTCATTGAAGTTCGTACATTTCTTAATAGCCTGTTTATAAAAATGAAGGATCAATTCGATTTACATTATGGTGAAAAGTATACAGTTAAAGAAAGAAATAAGGTATGGGAGATTATTGCGAAAAAATATCAAACTATCTTCCAGCCATTTATTGAGATTATTAATAAACAGGGTTCAGATTCTTCAGATCTTATACCTCCTTCAGAAAAACTTAGCTATAACAAAGATACTGAATATCACTCTTTAAATCACGCCATTAAAGTATATCAAGGAGCACAAATAAGACGAAATTGGCCTAATCTCTTTGAGATTGATTTTCTCAATATAAGTGAACCTAATAATGTAGCGACAATTTCTTGTAGAATAGATGACTTGATAATACCTCATGCAATTCTAGATACTGGCGCAGATTCTTCAATGTTTACTGATAACATTCCAGAGTATTTAGAAATAAAAATAGATAAGAAAAATGTTCACAAACTTACTGGTGCGGTTGAAGATTCTCAGTCTGTTGGTACTTCATATAATATTCCTATAACTATTGGTAGTGGAGAAGATTCTATAACAGTTTATGAAGATATATCTGTAATTCCTACAAAAAAAGATCGAAATGGAAATGATATATCTATAATGATACTTGGTACCAAATGGCAATATCGTGCCGGATGGGATCCTATAGTAAAAGGTGAATTTACCGCTACATACAATGGAAAGACTATTACAATTCCACTTTCTACTCAAAAAAAAGTGCGTAATACATTTAATACAGAAAAATTAATCACATCAGAGGTAGACTCGAAGAGCCATGATTCAGAGAATCGCCTAACGACCTGTTCCGCAATAAAAAAAAATGCGTAAATTGTGAAAAATATGATGAACTCGAAAAGCGACTCATAAAAACTGAAAAGTGGCTTGATATGGCCTTAAACGCAGGTAAAGTTCTTGCAGAAAGATATTCCCAACTTACTGAGATAATGATGGATTTATAGGTGCCAATCTATCAGTATCTTTCATTAATTTTTCAAGATCTGTCTTTCTTTTCGATGTATTATCTATGGAAGTAGAGCTTCGAATCTTTGTTTTTGTCCGCTTATTTGCTCGTGTTCGTTCTTCAGATACATTATCGCTTTGCAATAGGGCACTATCCCCATCTAAAACCTGGGACTCTATATGAAATATATTTCCAATGGGATTTGCTATATTGGTATCATGATTAGAGTCATCATTATTATTATGTAAGTGAGGTATAGGTTGATCCCAAAGAATTCTATTAGATTCTTCTCCTCTCCAAATCTGATAAATACGTTTTGTCGATGTTTTATACTTACTCATCAACTCATTTAAAATTTTATATCTTGGTTTTATATCACGACATTGCATAATATATGAATAATCTTTGGGTGAAAATAGAGGTGCATCAGACCGTATATGTAGTCTAGGCATAGTAGTAAATGTAAATATAAGATGTTTATATCTAACAAAAAATATAAAATATACTGAAATAAAAAAATATATTGGAAAAATAGAATATACAAGTTATTATTCATTTTTTTTATATAATAGTTATGTATATTCGATCTAATACATCATAACTGATACGTATATTCCATCTAATACGTATATTATATCTAATACGTATATTCTATCTAGTATATCTTTGCAAATATATAGATATATTCTATATATTATATCACATTTAAAATACAAATATATTTAATTTTTTAGATATCAATAGGATGTCTCAAATTCATACATTATCAGATATAGGTGAAGGCAAAAAACTTGGAGACATGCCCACTAATCGATATCCGTCTAGCCAAACAGAACTTGAAAATTAGCTTGTTTGCACAAATCAAGATCGGGAAATTGCTATAGAATGTGGTAATCGACTTGCTAATAAATGTTCTATCTTGGATAAAGAAAATAAGCGTATTGTTACCGTTTTGATGGGGCTTTTAAAATACTCAAAGGTATTTATAAAATTTAAGGAATATTCAAAGGGAAACTTCCAATGTCTTAACGACAATTCAAAGT